CAACTGTCAAATTCCCCATCATACATGGAGTTAGAAGCAATCCAAGACACACTACCTGAAGATCAAGAGGAAGTAAATTTTTTAATGTGGCCTCAAGAACAAAATTACCAATAGTATCGATAACGATAGGTAAACAAAAAATTAGATGCTTGATAGATACTGGCTCAACAACCAGTATTCTAAAAAATAACATATTGAAAGAACAATTCCCCCAAGAAGCTTTAGAAAAACCGCACTATTACAAGACACTCAACGGACTGAATAGGGTAGATTACGTCGTAACCACTCCTTTTCCTAGGGAATTCAAGTACCCAGGGACACTCCAATGGAAGCTCATCGACTTTGTAAACGACAACTTCTCCGGCCTAATTGGCCAAACATTTTTAAAAGCTTTGAAAATTGTTATAAACTGTGACCAGCAGTGCATCGATATTTTGGGGTCCAAATTATTTTTTGAAGAATACAACTATCCAAGTGAAATTGAAAGTATATGCACATTAGACCCAATTGAAATAAATGAAATTTCACAAAAATTCAATTTTGATCATCTCAATTCTGAGGAAAAAGAAACAAACCAGCAATTGCTTTCAAAATTTAAGGAACTTTTCTTTAAAGAAGGAGATATACTTTCAGCAACGGACGAAGTTCAACATGAAATTACTATGACAGTAGATAAACCTCCTTACTCAAAGATATACAGGTACCCTCAAGTGCACGAAACAGAAATAAATCGACAAATTCAAGAAATGCTTAAACAAAACATTATTAGAAAAAGCAACTCTCCCTATAATAGCCCATTGTGGATAGTGGAAAAGTAATTAGACAACTCGGGCAAAAAGAAATACAGACTCGTCGTCGACTACCGAAAACTAAACGAATTTACGGTAGACGATAAATACCCTATCTCAAACCTTAACTCTCTGTTGGACATACTCGGTAGATCTCAATATTACACCACCCTTGACCTAGCCAAGGGCTTTCACCAAATTCCAATCAAGGAGGAAGATAGGAAGAAAATGGCATTTTCAACGCCAACGGGTCATTATGAGTTTATTCGAATGCCCTTCGGTTTAAAAAATGCACCGTCAACGTTCCAAAGACTAATGAACGAAGTCTTAAGGATCATATAAATAAAACCTGTGTCGTCTACATGGACGATATCCTCGTGTTTAGCACATCCTTGGAGGAACATATAACCATCCTCGGAAAAATCTTTAAACTTTTGAGAAAGGCAAATTTAAAAATTCAAGTCGACAAATGTGACTTTCTAAAAAAAGAAGCACAATTTTTAGGCCATGTCCTTACCACTCATGGCATCAAGCCAAATCCGGATAAAACATCCATAATACGAAAACTTAAAGTCCCAACTACTGAAAAACAAATCAAATCTTTCATAGGAATGACAGGCTTTTACAGAAAATTCATAAAAGATTATGCGAAAATCGCATTTCCATGTCCAAATGTCTCAAGAAAAACGAGAAAATTAATGCCAACGACCCGGCATATCTCGTTGCATTCGAAAAACTAAAAGATCTTGTTACTAACTCGCCAATATTGAGATACCCTGATTTTCGCAAGAAATTTAAAGTAACAACTGATGCAAGTAACTTCGCAATAGGGGCAGTACTCTCTCAAGAGGGACACCCAATTGCATATGCATCTAGAACCCTAAACAAGCACGAATGTAACTATGCAACAATCGAGAAAGAATTGCTTGCCATAGTATGGGCAGTACAATATTACAGACCCTATTTGTTCGACAGGGAATTCGATCTAGAAAGTGACCATCGACCACTCAAGTGGCTAATGACTAAATATACAGTGAAAGATATAAACCCCAGATTACAGAGATGGCTAATAAACTTGGAGAATACAATTTCACAATAGATTATATAAAGGGCAAAAACTATTTTATTGCGGATTTCCTAAGCCGAATAAAAGACGACGAAATAAACCATTGGGAAGATGAAGAAAATACAGGTAAAGATATAGAAATAGAGCAACCAGATTGTTCAATTACATGATAAACACGAAAACGCCTCAATAGAAGTACAAACCGTCCACTCTCGAGAGGAGGAACTAGGATACTATATACCTATTCTAGAAATGTTTGTCAATAGATTTAAAGTTCAAATTATCTTAATAAAAGAAAAAAGAGAAACTGTTACGACAATCTTCGGGAAAAAGAGGATTTTCATAGAAAGAAGCGATATAACCAACGGATATGTGATCGACATTCTACGAAGAGAAGTAACAAAAGGAAAAGTAGGAATCTACACCTACCTCAGTGACCATGAACATTATCAAGTTTATAGAATCTTAGAGGATGAGTATTCTGCAAATCCACATGTTAAGTTCGTCAAATGCACCAAAAAAGCAAGAGACATAGAATCTGAAGACGAACTAAAAACACAAATCGCACTTTTTCATAAAAACGAAAGCGGGCATTGTGGTATAACTATGAAGAAACTAGAGATGAAGGTTTCATAAAAAATTATAGAAACGTCCGCCACAAAGAAGAACCGAAATTTAGGAAACATAAACTCACAGGAATACACGAATCTAATATAAAAAGACCCAATAAATTTTCATCGGAACCAATTTCAGACAATGATCTTGCTAGTAATACTAATAACCCAAATGACAATCTCGGGAGCGGACTTCAAAATAACCCCAATTGACAACGATAACGGATATACCAGTCTTAACACATTTGAAACTAACATCGTAAATGAAACCAAAATAGTCCTACATGTAATACAACCAATAGAAATTCTCGATGTTATTGATGCTCTAGAACAAAACACAATAAACCTAGGTAGAAGCTACAAGAATATAATAAAACTCCAAATAAACATGCTTAGAACAAAACTAAGGTCTATCATGCTATCAAATAATAGATATAGACGTGGTCTTCTGAATGTCATAGGAACAGCTCATAAATGGCTTTTTGGAATTATGGACGATGACGACAGGCAAATTATTTTACAAAAATTAGACACTGCTAATAGTAACAATCATAATATTGTACAAACAATCAATGAACAAGTCACTATTAATAATCATTTCAATGATAGCCTATGTTTAATAAAAGATAGTATTTTAGACGACAGAAAAAAAATTAATAATGCAATAAACACTATTCAAACTCAAAACTCAGAGATAAGAAGCGAATTATTATTTAATGAACAACTGATTAAATTAAAAGTTTTAGAAAACAAAGTCGACCAGATCATAGAAAACATATATTCTGCCAAATATCTTTCATCCCTCCATATTAACATCTGAAGAAATAGACAAATACAATATAGACTTTTATAAGTTAAGCCTGATAAAAATGGGTGTACTACTATACAACAATAACTGTCTAATATTTTCAATAAAATACCCATAAACTATACAAAACACATTGTGAAATCAATTATTCCTATACCTAACCATAAGTTCTACGAAATAGAAGAAAAACAAGAAATGTTTGTAAACATTAATAATATATCTTATACTTACGAAGATAAAAATCTAAAAGATCTAGTACTATCAAAGAATTTTATATTTAAAGGAAACTGTAAATTAATTTTTAACAATAACACCTCTATTTGACGATGAAACTATTATTATTAAAAATGCTCGCAATACGAAAATTAAGCTGAAACCAAAACACAAGTAATTTATTAAATGGAAATAACATTTTAATGTTCTCAAATTGTAAAATCACTATACAAAATGAAAAATTTTAAAATTAAAAAGAAAACTACTTCGAGAAAATTCCTGACTATGAAACATACAACAACAACACATTCACAAATTAAATAACTTTTAATCATATTATACTTAGCAAAACTAAAAATATTGAAATGATTGAAGAATTAACACAACACCAACATATCTCCTATTCCCTAATCGTGGTCGGAAAATCCATAAATATAAAAGTTAAAGAAAAATTCAGGAGAATTCTTCCACAAGGGGGGGAGGAGTTACGTATCCGTACCCCACCGATCTCTACGCCACTGCAAACATCGACCACTTAGTTGCAAAATATGTATCAAATATCAATAAGAACAACTCAGCGAAAACTAGCGTCAACAACTGAATGTGCTTCCGCTGGTTTTCGACTGACATACAAAACGTAAAATATGCTGAGTGGACATTTCCACCAAGCAACCCAAAGCTTAATAATGAAATAAATGATTAGTCTTAAGATTCATTCGAAACAATAAAGTTGTTTTCAATTTGATAAACCAAATAAAATTTGTGTTATCTTTCAAGTTTAACTCCGAAGAGTTAAACATATAATTCGCGCCACCCAAGAATGGTTACAAACTGAGGTTCCTCGCTTCATTTCCAGCGCCCAATGGCCACCAAAATCTCCGGATAGCAACCGTTGGACTATTGTGTTTGGAGTATTTTGGAATGCAAGGTTGGTACTAAAAAATACCAAAGTGTCGATCACCTCAAGCAAGCGCTTCGCCGGGAATGAGCCAAAATACCGCAGAGTAACATTCGGGCAAATATTTTCCCAATGTGACCTTACCTTTATGCCTCAGTTATTTGCAACGTGTATGAAAAATTCTATTATACTCGGGCTCTTATAGATTATTGTTGATGCAGTCGTTTGGTTTGATCTACAAGAAAAGACCGAATCACTTCACGTCGATCGAACACGTGAAATATTTTGTGTTTAATAAAATCAGAAGGGACGGTTATAGAAAAGTCATGATGTTCAAAGAGCACGAGAGAACTTTTTCGTGCTTTATTCCCGATATTCACAAATCACAATCGAACGTGTTGTGTCTTGATATATTACTTATATTTCAGCAAGTGATATAGTGTCGAAATTTCCCATTTGTGAAATTCTCTGATCGACTCCAAATATGTCTGATGCTTCTGTGACTTTACTTTTTCAATGAAATTTTAACATCAAGATTGAACGAGAAATAAACGAAGAAAACGATTATATTTTGTTGCATTTAATTCTTATTTTATTTTGTGTCTTTTTTCAGATCGATCTTTTGGCTGCTGCGAGGTGTAATATGTTTTCACATGTGCTAGTATCATATATAACTGAATTAAAGCAATTTGGTTTGAAGTCAAGTGCTACTTATGACACAATATCTAAGGCTCTTGAACAAAAACCAAAATATGACTTTTGCATTCTTAAAGAATTAACACAATATGAAGAAGTCTCAGATCACATAAAAGACATTTCCTCATTTGATAATGACCAAACATTATTTTTTGCTGTAAGTATAAAATAATTATTCACTATCCATTAAAGTTTTTCGTTTATAATTTCAAAATAAAGATAACATTTACAATGTTAACCCGTAGCTCTCAAATGCTAAAAAGTACTGCATTGCAACTATTATGGTTATAGTTACACTACGCTTTATATTTCATTTTTTTTTTCGAAAACTTTGTGTTGTCAAATTATTTCAATCAACTTCATTTTTTTCGGATGTCAACATAATCATAAATGCCAGTTAATCAGTTATCACCGACTCCGGCGTCCGAGATATTTTCTAGTTATACCCTACACCACAAGGTGGTCAGGGTATTATGTCTTTGTGCATTTGTTTGTAACAGGCAAAAGGAAACGAGATAGACCCATAGTTCCTTTTGATGATCTGCATAGAATCACATTCTGAGTCGATTTATGCATGTCCGTCCGTCTGTCCATGTATTTTTGTAAACAAAGTACAGTTCGCATTTATTGCCCTATCCAGATGAAAATTTGCACAAATCATTTGTTTGGCCCAAGGACGAACCCTATTGAAATTGGAAATAATCGGTCAAAATGTAGATATAGCTCCCATATATATCTTCGTCCGATTTGCGTCTTTTTGTGCACCAAACGTGTAATATCAGTTGGAATAGTATGGAATTTTGCACGTACGATCAGATTGGACCTGAAAATATGTATGCCAAATTTGATCGAAAGCGGTTCAGATATAGCTATAGCTCCCATATATATTGTTCGTCTGATTTGTTATATTTGTTACCCACAGCCGTAATATGCACTCTGTAACAACAATATTTGGAGAAATATATCAAATACAGCTCAGAAATATATTTGCTAAATTTTATAGAGATCGGTTCAGATTTGGATATAGCTCCCATATATAACTTCGTCCGATTTACCTTTTAGTGTGCACCAAACGTCTAATATTTGCCCAAATGGGATGAAATTTGGCACTTACGACCGAATTGAGTCTAGATTATAGTATGTCAAATTTGATGAAGATCGGTCCAGATATAGCTATAGCTCCAATATATACTATTTATCTGATTTGTTATATTTGTTACCCACAGCCGTAATATGCACTCCGTAACAACGATATTCAGGGAAATATATGAAATACAGCTCAGAAATATTTTTGCCAAATTTTATCGAGATCGGTTCCGATTTGGATATAGCTACCATAAATATTTTATCCGATTTCATATTAATTGTGCACCAAACAAGTCCGAATTAAAATGATACAAATGCTTCGGAATATTTAGTCCTTTGAACTTTATATTATAATTATAATCATAGCGTGTATGATAGAATTCTCCCATAAAAACTTTTAATTGTTATGCGGAGCTCTGCTAAATTAGCAAAGTGGTGTAGGGTATCATAAAGTCGGCCCCGCCCGACTTTAAGAAATTCTTTACTGGTTTTTAGATATCTTTATAGATACAAAAAATTTTATTGGATTTACCATTTTGCTTTTAAATCGAAGCAAAAAATATTCAAATAAACCTATTATTTTAACAAGGGCGTGGCATTCGAAATAAGTAGGTATTACTTGACCACAAATTAGTCGATCAATTCTGGAATTGGAGGAAGATAACCGATTAAAAATATTTATTTTAGTTTGATTTGGTCAAGAAATTTGTAGTCGCCACGAGTCCTAGTGGACATACAAATAAGCCTTCCTGCGGTCCGTTGTGCGCTCTAATAGTTTATATAGTTATAGTATATCTCATCAATTTGTAATCAATTGTGTAATTTGTAACAGATCCCTGAAGATGATTTTCGATGAAAATCGAAATATTGGATATAATAAAGAGAAAAAGGAAATAACTGAATAGAATTGTTTTATTGAACTTCAGCCGAACCATCATCAAACATGCTTTTAGATTTATGTATATTAAAATCTAGAATTTTTGCCAGCGAGTTAGACCTGTTGGCTCTTATTACCTTAATGACGTGTTTTCCGAGCGTTAAGATATTTATAGTTGTTGGTTGATATTTATTGTCTTATTCAGAAAACTGCTTCATCTAAGTGTCAAAGCTTAATTTTCCTAGTGAAAAAAAAATCCGTTCTCCGGGTAAACATTTTTACTGTAGGTTTGTCTTCTTACCCATCAGACGTATTATAATAATGTCTGCATAGTAGTCTGGTTCAAATTTTGCGTCGGTTAAGTTCCTTGAGAGATTTTAATTGCAATTATCAACATGTATGATCACAAAATTTCCACTTATGACCTCCTCTGACTTTGTCACTATTATTTAGCACATGACTTGTCCAATTCCGAAGGGAAGGGATTACCTTATCTGGAATTCCGATGTCGTCCTGTACTATCGTGTTAACTATGTAAGGTGCTCACAATATCTTCTTCTGCCGATGTATCTATGTATATCGCAACACTCTGTGGGAAATAGAAGCATTGACATTACTTCCATGGCCCAATTGTAAAGTCGAAAAGAAGGACCAGCTCATGGCCCAATTATAAGGTCGACCAGAAGGCGAATTCCAAAAAAATACAACTCTGCAACCTATGTTTATTGTCAACATTTGTTATTGGGGCGAACAACTCAACAATTCGCCTAGACATAACGGCGAAATACTGTTTTGACAATAAATAATTTTTATTTTTTGCGAAATATAAACAAAAAATAATGATTCGACAAATTGGTCAAATACTATTTATCTTTTTTGATCCTTATTTCGTCGTTTTAATTGTGTATTGCAGAAACCCTTAACGTAGATATTTAACACACATATTTTAACCATAAAAGTTATATAATTGGACTGTGTTTGAATAGGAATTGAATGATGTCGTTTTTAAAACATTGAAATGGAATGAAGGGCTGATGGAAAGCCTTGCGCATTGCCTCATATAATCTAACATTAATCCTTATCTATATATCTCTTTTGTACATTATTGCCTTATGTTGTAACGGTTTCGGTTTTTGAATCGAATTATTCTCAAAACTCACAAGTGGAAGTTCTAATGCGGAATCCTGCATCCAAGGGATCGTTACCGCCACGACTTACAAATTCATCGAAAGGGTAAAGCCATGGACATAACCCTCAATCTACTCCCTGATTTCTCCACACTTGAATCATTGAAGTGGTGGTGGCTACTTTCGATGTGGCTGGGAATTTGATGATTCAAATTTGTCCACAGCTTTTCTTTGGTGAAAATAGAAAAAAGTTGAAGGCCTTTATTATGATCAAATTCACAAAACACAGCAAATCACAATTCCTTAATTTCATATTGAATTTTAACAAGTAAAAAAACATTATGTTCGGCCGGGCCAAACTTTTAATACGCTCCACATTAAACATTAGAAGAAATGTGGCAAAAACCATTAAAATGTCGAATATCGGAAGGTACCGTTATATGGGGGCTTCACCAAAACGTGGACCTATAATTACAATGTTTCGCCATACGAACTAGATAAATCTAGATACCGAATATCGGGAGGTACCGTTATATGGGGACTATACCAGAACGTGGACCGATATATCTCATTTTCAATACCAACCATCCTAGACACAATGCAAATTGCTCTGCTAAATTTTGGCGCTCTACGTCAAATAATGTAGGCTGTATCGTGATTTCAACAGACATACAGCCGGACATCGTTAAATCGACTAAGAATTTTATGCTGATTATGAATATATATACTTTATGGGATCTAAGACGAATATTTAAGGATGTTACAAACGGAATGACAAAGTTAATATACCCTCCTTTATAAAAATGTATATTTGTGAAATATCTGACAAATATTTTTTTGACATGTTTGTAATTGCAAAGCGAATCCAAATGATGTTGACAGCAAATGTAGGTATCAGCTGGTCTTACTTGTCGACCTTATAATTGGGCCATGGACCAGCTGATACCTACATTTTCTGTCAATATGATTTGAATTTGCTTGACAACTACAATAGATTTCAATACTTGTTCAATTCTGTCAAAAATATTATTTAAAAAAAATTGAACAAAAGAAAATATGGTGCTTTTTCAAACAAACAATGCAAAGGTCAAGAAATCTAATTTTTCATTTTTAAACTCCTTAATTAGAAAAGTGTTGTGTATTGATATCGTTTTGTTTTTTGTAGTAAACAAGGAAAACGCAAGAATAAAAACAAGATATTTCTTTTCAATTTGGTTTGTAGACGGGCAATGTCGGCTCATCACTTCTGGTACACGCATCCGAATTCTCATATCTCCTTGACGTCAATTTTGTATAATCGTGAATCTCTTATAAGGCGAAGAGTGTCTCTCAGTGGGTAACATCTTTTTACATTTGCTATCAGAATGTAAGGGGGCTTAATACAAAATTAACCAGTTTATATACTGATAGCATTGGTTTCAATTATAACGTATTGGTCTTCTCCGAAACTTGGTTAAAAACATCTATATTAAATAGTGAAACTTTATGTTCAAAATATCAAATATAAATAATCAGGCTTAACAATAGACTACACTAATTACTCTGTTGCTAGATCTAAATATACTTTAGACTCTCGTAGATTGTATAATCTTTACCAAGACAAGATTAAAAATAATTTTAAATCCAATCCTAAATCTTTTTATGATTTTGTTAATCTAAAACGAAAAGTTTCCTCAAAGAATTTGTCACAAGCACAGAATTGCTGAATGTTTCGCAGATTTTTTTGCCACAACCTATTCCAGTACATTTGCCAACTTAAAGATTCGTATCCTTATAAGTTATCACAGCCTGGTCAAATTTGTATGCCTTTTCTACAACGTCAGGAGGTGTCCAATAGTCTGCGTAGTGTAAAATCGATTAAATGTCCAGGACCGGATGGCATACCTAATATAATTCTTAAATATTGTTCAGAAACATTAGCACTTCCTTTAACTATATTGTTTAATTATTCACTTAAATTTGGTCACTTCCTACTTTCTGGAAAAAATTTATATTATACCTTTACATAAGTCTGGTAGTCTTACTAATGTGTCAAATTATAGAGGAATTGCCAAATTAATTCCAAAA